TCTGTGAAACGTGTATGCAGGGGCAGGCTGGAGAGCAGCGTCTTCTCTGGGCAAAGCTGACCAGGACAGACAGTGGTTGAGCCCCGCTTGGGGTTTTGCTGATTCTGGCCTCCGCCGGGGACACGAGCTGCTGCCCTGCCTCTGTGCGCGCCATCTTTGCATCTGTCTACTTAGCAACGCTCGTCCTTCACGGCTCGGGAAAAATTACCAAGAACGTTACTGACTCCAATTCTAATTTGTCTAGCGCTCTTGTTAATGATGTCTACTTAAGACATCCATTAAAGGCCCATGAGGTTAATTAAATGGACAATTCCAATACTGTTCTATTGGAACCTCCTCTATTAAATCAATATTATAGACATTTAACAGATGTCTTAATTAGGCGTTATAGCTAAGAAATGCAAACTAAATTAAAACCAAAACCATTGTCCAGGAAAAAAGCTTTTTATCATAATTTATGACTTTTGGGCGGGAATGTTCAGGTTACTCTTCAGAACCTGAGAGATCAGTCACTTGATGGTCTTTTCCAGCATCCTGGAAATGCTGCCGTGAGTGCTCCAAAGCTTAGAGTCACAGTCAGGACGTCAGAGCTGGAAGAGACTTCAGATGCCATCTGGAGTCCATGTCCTTACGTCAATGACAGGACAACAAGCTGGGTTTGAGGTGAACATGCAGCTCTCGGGGCCCCATCCCTAGAGGCTGAGTCAGTAGGTCTGAGGCGCAGCGCAGGGACCTCAATGCTTTTAACCCCTGCTGACTCTGACGCAGGCAGTTCCAGGGTCCCACTTTGGGAAACCCCGATCTAGACCAATGGCTCCACGTGACAGATGGTGACACTGAGGCCCCGAAAGGCATCAGGACTTGGATCAGCAGAATTCCACATCCTGCTCCACAGGGGAATAGAACTTTGCTATGAGTGGCAACTTCCTGTTATGCATTAAACTGTATCCTCCCAAAACACGTGCTGGAATCCTAACCCCTATACTCATGAACGTAATCTAATGTAATCTAATGACCTTCCATAATGCAATCTAATGTAATGTAGTCACCTTCCATAACGCAATCTAATATAATCACCTTCCATAATGCAATTTAATGTACTGTAACCAGTCAGTTGAGGTCATACCAGTGTAAGATGGACCCTAAACTGAATCACTTCTGAGTGATATGAAGAGCAGCACAGACACAGAGACGAGCAGACACATACTGGAGAACAGAGATGCCATCTGAGAAGCCTGTAAGGGTCGCTGTGAGTGGCTGCAACGATGGGCTCAAGCAGAACAAGGATTGTGCGGATGGCACACAGAGTGAGAGAGCAGAGACTTCAGGCAGGAGGCTTGCTGGCAGAGTAGGGCGCCTCTGGGTAACTGGCAGAGCTAGCTTTGCTGGCCCATGGAGCCAGGGCTGAGTGCCTTCGGGCCTAGGTTTACTGGAGGAGTCAGGTGCCTCTGGGCACTTATCGGCGGAGCTAAAGGAGCTTTGTAGCACTTGCCCAAGCAGGGCAGAGGCCGAGGAGCCAGAGAGAGGTGTGCTGGCGGCATGGCTGAGAAGAGGCTGTCCTG